ACAATCTTTAAAGTCATTATTCAATACATTGTTATTGTTAAATAAATATCGTCAAATAATCGAGATCTCAGTGAAAATAATCGTGATTATCATTTTTGCCATAATCGAGCAGCCCTAATTTTCTACTTTAAATTTCTGCAGACCTGCGCTGGTTTATGTAGCTGTCGTCTGCCCGACTTTCCACTTCGCTTTTTTACAACTTCCTATCACAGAGAGCGGGTCTCAGGTGTCTGCGGGTGCTACAGATGTTGGAGGATAGTGTTGTTAAATTACAGGACGAGCCGGTGACCAGTAATGTACGTTCATAAAAAGGGAAGAATTGTTTTAACTGACTTGTGGTGCTTAATAATGATGTTTAATCGGCTAATCGACTATTTCTAAACATCCATAAGATCACAAGACATGCATGCAGCAAGAAGAACAAAAGCTGTGCTCATGTTTACGCAGGTGGCTCAGTAACATTTCATTAACACATGATGTAGGAATTTGAAATTGATGCCAGAGGTGTGTCTGCAAGCAGGCTGAGGGGTAGCACCGATGGTTTGTTATAAAGCATGCTTCATCTCGATGAACCCTCTGCTCCACCCGAGTGTCAGATTCATCCAATGATCGCACTGTTCCCAGTAATTCCCAGCAGAAGAGTAAAAAACATATCATACCCATCAGCTGCTTACCTTTAATCTGAATTGTCATGCTGTGTGTGAGAAAAACGGCTGCGTGAAACCTTCACGCTGATATTTTGGTTAGCGGGTTACCCGCTGCCTCGTCAGGCCTGCTTGTTGTGGAGCTGCTAATTTGTGCTGCTTTAGTTAAAAAGCTGCTCATTAATGAAATGAACTAGCTGCACTCTAATTAGCACATAGCTGTTTCATCCTCAACGCTTATCCGCCCCTCTCAGTAAATCCAGCCCTTCATCATCTTCACTGCCCCACTTTAAAGTCCTCTGATTTTTGCCCCCTGCTGGAGTTTAGGTCTGGATGTTGATATCGAGCTGATAGCTGCTGTTTCTAGCTAAGATGGATTATTTTAATTAAAAAAAATAGCCACAGTCTGTTGGCGGTCTTTTCAGAGACCGGTCTTAATAGAGTCCCAGGAGGCTGCAGGACGGCATGGCTGAAAAATGCCTGTCACCTGATACAAAGCTAATTGGAAACAAAAGGTCAAAGGTCACAGTTATTGCCACACACTTATGGGCCTGGACTAGTGATCCTGCTGCCTGCTATTTAATTGCCCGTATTCCCATCTCGGTGTAAGGTTACAGCAGTTTAGGCGGTGGATCATCGGCGTGGTGATGCGCTGGCAATGACGGTGGCGGTGAACTGGGTCAGCCCACCGGGGAGCAGGTGAGGAGAACACCTTGTCCCAGCGAGGGAGGCGTAGGGCTACTTAATTAGGAAGCCTTCCGCCTCTCCCTCCAGAGAGAAAATGCGATGATTCAGCGCTTTTTTTCCACCGCGGCCCAACGGCTTCATTGTGCAGATGGTGTCATTAATCTCGTGGACACGGTGGAAGAAAGGAGAACATTTGGTGCGAGGACAACTTCCTGTCCCCACACCTCTCCGTCGCCTTTGTCCCCAATGTCTCAAAGCTCCACGTCACATCGTGAAACATCAAGTGCTGATGTCTGTAAACTGTAATCTCTATTCATTTGTCTTCCTGGTTTTATCATTGTAGATGGGAAGTTTGGGGCTCGCATGCAGGTCCACATTCAAAACGACGGACCGGTCACCATCGAACTGATATCACCGACTGGACCCACAGACCCCAAACAGGTACATCACT